AAAAAACAAAATGCCGCAATTCTGACAACGCAATGTTGTCCACCCGCCGCGAACTGCGGTCAGCTGTCAGGTTGTGGATCTTCTGATGATTCCGCTGGTATGTTGTGCATGTGGACGGTTCATGGACCATGTACATGAGGCTTGGAATGACAGACAAGTTGTGGAAGACTCTGACATCAACTGACATCCCTTCATGATGAGAAAAGGGGAACATTTTCATTTTCGGCCTCTTTTGAACGCATGGGCAACGACGCAAACGTCAGTGGAACGTGCGTGAAAATCCAACCAAAAAAAGTTGGTATGATTTTCACGCATGTTCATGACCACCAGAGGAACACCACAACAAAAGCAAAAGAAATGCCACCCAATGGGAGCCCCCCAAAAGTCATATGTTTCCCCACGCCGAAAACCAAGAAAAACAACACCACTGATCACCGTTCTCATCAATGGCACCGAAGGGTCACACGCCCTATCCGCTACTCCACATGCATCGGTAGTGGGATCTCCCTCCTGTTTATCCACAGTTAAATGTGTGCACCAATGCAGCACCATTTCATTTTGTTTTCTTTGTTTTCCTTTTTTTTAATGTGCGAGGCATAAGGCCTCGATAAGCCCTACTGGGCCCCTATCTGCAATAGCGTTGGCCGCCCTAAGTGAACGCAGGCTCGACAGACGACAAGTGGCCTATTTTGGACTACTTTGCAAAATTCAGGCAGTTGTGCAGCGCCAGTTGGTTGAAAACGCCCAGGCCCTGGCCTCCTTTATCAAATGCATCTGAGTCAGGCCCTGGGCGAGATATGCAGCATGGACCCAACTCAGGCTGCTGGCAGTTGGGCACTAGTAACCACCACAGGCCCTGGGCCTGTTTCTTTGGACTGAGGCTCAGCCTCGTGGGGCCTACCGGAAGCTTCTTGGTCGGGGCCCAGTACCGCAACACGGCATGCAGCAGCAGGCCACTTTGATATAGGGAAGGGCCTGCCCACGCATTGGACATTCGGGCGCTGGCTGCATGCTGCGCAAGCGGTGCTGCTGCGCTAACACTGGCCAGGCTCACTCGCCCACGGGCGAGCTGGAAGGAGCAGGCAGCCATAGCTGAGCTGCGCTGCTGTATGCTGGATGGGGCGCATGGTGGTCCTTGGGTGCATGTGGCATCTGTGAGTTGGGGAACGAGGTTCTGAGTGATATGAGAAGACATGCCTGGTGCTTGAAGCGTACGGCATTGGCCAAGATCTGCTCGTACTTCGGGAGCTGTTGACGTCATGGGCGGCATTGTAGATTAGGCTAGATAGGATCTGCCATCTGTAGTCTGGGCGCCGAGCGCCAGATAGGATATCGACATTGGTTCTTCTTTGATGATGATGTGACTATTCCAGCATAATTGTCAATTATGAGCTTTTGCTGTGCTCTTATTTGGTGAAACTCGTGATGCAATTCTGCTATTGGTTCGAGGTCACGACTATCTGGTCTCATGTGTATGATGCTGTTTGATTTCTGAAGTTCGCTATCGCTCATATTCCTTGCAATTTGGTATCAGAGCTGTGGTACGGTGCGCTCATCTGGCGCTTGTCTGCACATGCACGCGGTCTGCTGGGCGAGCGGCCGTGGGAGGTGTGTAGTGAGGAGGGTGGAGACAAGTGAGGCGACCCAGGTGGAGAGGGGATCGCCAGGAAGGCTATGTGGTGATTATTGGGCGTTTGCAGTGTGATGAGAACTATCCGACGTGTGATTGATGCTGAGGTGGAACGGTGGTGCAATGCTGGTTGTGCCGGAGCAGCGATTGGTCATCACAATCAACATCGGGTCATCTGGTGAGAATATCTGTGGTTGGGGGCAGCTATTTTTGAGGTACGTTGCACCTAACCTTATCTACCCTCTTCGACACTTCTTACCGTGAGGATGTGTGTTCTGTCTTTAGAGTCCTCTCATGTGAGGAGTCATGTGCGCTCAACCTTGAGAGTCACCAATCTTCATGTGGAGCATCTGGAAGGAGAGGGCGGTGCTATCAAAAGGGCCCTGGACGAAGCACTAGGTCACGGTCACCATGCCAACCCACCGGGCGTAGAGCACGCATGCTTTGCAGCTTTGTCCTTTGTCTGCTCGTTGCGCTGTAGAGGGGTTCTGAAGGGCAAGCCAGCCCTATAGGACAGACGAGACCGGGCGTCTATAAATAAGCACCGGCAGGGTACCTTCCATTGGTTGTGATCGTCGTCCTGTTTGCAACGTTAAATAATTCCTGAGGACTTCGGGGGCCATCCATAAAAACGCCTCCTGATCAGCCAATCGGTCGGTGTAAGGCTCGTTGCACGCGAGGATAAAGACTGTGCAGGGTTGGCCAGCTCAGCAGGACTCGGGGCACAGGCGTGGGCCATGTGCACACCTTTAGACACGCACACTGTTCCAGATTGCTCAAGGACGTTGACGACAAGAGACATTCAGGAAGAACTGAGGGAGGGGTAGATTCCAGGTGATAAGTTTGGGCAAGATTCCATTCTGCAAACAGACCCAACAAACGATTCTATTTTTATTTTGATTAGTTAGATGTACTTTCATTAACATCTGACAGACAACATAGTCTAGAACTGTTCTTTGTTCGTTGTGCTTTCTGTTTGGGAAGTAGTCAAAGTCAAAGTAGTTTTGTTTGTAGGAATCTGAACTTAAGTTACCTGTTGGACCCATATGTATCTACGCTGACGCAACCATCGAGTATTGCAATCGGTTTGTGCACTACGTTGTGGTAGGCATCAAAGAGTGACCTAGTGCAAATTTTGTACAGTTCCGTAGCTTATGAGCGACAGGGATACCACTAGTGAGGACGACCGGATCTTGCGATCGGCTAGACACCCGATTGCCCACATGGCATTAGGACCCGAGGGTGATAGGTTACTGTTCCACCAGCTTAGGGAGAGACAACAACAGCAGCGGAGAACTAGGGCAGCAGAGGCCAGCAGGGCATTCGCAAGTGAAGTCGCTGCTTCAGCAGCCATGGCAACCGCTGCGCAGTTGAGTTCCCAGGTCAGCAGTTCGGGGCACGTAGGGTCAACGGTAGCGCAGACCTTGAGTCAGTCCACTGGCGTCATGGCAAGCCATCCCTTAGTGTTGACTTCCGATGAGATCGCCATACAGCAGGCAGCACTGCAGAAGGCACAACTACAGAGGGTTTTAAGAGAGATAAAAGTAGAGAAGGAAAG